TTGAAGTGTTTGTCTCCTACACATTACTGTGATTCATACATTTATTAAAAAAAAAAAATAATTCCCAGGTGGGATTTCAGACTTTTACCCATTCTACTGTGCTCATCTTCTAAGGTCCTAGCAAAATGTTCAAAATCATATAAACTCCTGATTAAACCACGAAGCAAATCTGCATGCATGCAATTACAGTGTCTGCAAGGGCAGACACAGATGACAGTAATTCATACTCTAAGAAATGGGCTTGTGTATTTGGCAGATTAACTGTTCTGTATTCCATTGCTATGAGGTATGGAAACTGTACTGTGAAACAACCATTACTCATTCCCTCAGCTCTAAGCACGTAGGTCTATCAAAGGCAAGACAGTCTGGAGAGGGCGGGGGGCGAGGGCTGGAAAGAGAAGAGTCTACACGTTTCAGATTAACGCTTCTCTTGAATGGTTTCTTTTATTTAATTTCCCCTAGTTTTTAAATTAGAAAATACAGTAGACCCAGAAGGGAAGTGTGCAAGGGGGAGATGGAGAGAGGAGAGAGAAAGGGAAAACGCAAAAGCAGCCAATACTCTCCAACTTGTTCATTAGGGGGGTTGTGTTTGAACATCTGAATGAATCATGTGTCTGTTTTTCATTATTCTCCATATGTATTTGTTCTCTGTTTTGTTCAGCATTTTCTGGTCATGTTGTCATGACTGTGCTTATTTTGTTTTATACATTGTTCTATTACAGGGTGATTGTTACTTTTCCTCTGCCTCACTTAGCAGTTATGCCACCAACAAAGAGCAATCTGAAAATGAGAGGTTACGTCAAAAGGTTTCCCTAGTGAACTCCCTAGCAGCATATATAATTACTTTAGATCTGATTGCTTAATTCATACCAGGGAGAAATCCTCAGACAACACTGTTCCTTAGCATGACAGGAATGTGGTGGGTACCTTTCTAAAAATCTGAGGAATACTGGAAAATTACTTAAAGTCCATTGCAGAGCATTTTCCTTGTTTTTCCAAGAGGAAACCTAATACTTCTTGCTAAGTAGCAACCTATTTTAACAGATCTGCTGTTACCTGGGGTTTTTGAAATAATTTCTTTGCTAAATTAACTCTTTTCTATTTTCAGCTTAACTTTGTACCTTGGTCAACACACAAATGACACTGAAATACATTCTGAAACCATTAATCATATGATAACTTCTATCATCTCCTTGAATTTAATCCACCCTACTGCATTAGATACACATCACAGGATGACGTGTTCATTTAACAATGAACTTACACTTCGAAGAAAAGCGAGATCCAGAAGACTGGAAAGGATCAAACAAATAGTCTGGGGTTTTGCTGTTTGTTGTTTGGCTGTGGAGTTTTTGGGTTTTTTTAAAGAAATAGTTGTACACTGCAGTGTATCAGAGACACTTTCAACTTCTTGGAATTCACACGGCCTCAAAGATAACATGCTGCACGGTGATTAGTACCATGCAGCATGGATTCAGCAAGACTAAATAATGTCATATTGTAATTTTGTCAAAAACATATGTAACTAGTATTATGGATAGCTCAATACTGTATATTTTAGTTAAACCTTGGTTGTCCCTCATAACTTGAGCAGATGGGAGAAAAAAGATCTAGCTAAAAATGCTGTAATGTAGGTGCCAAAATGATTAGCAGATCCAATGTAAAAAAGAATTTCTGAATGGCTCAGTGTTGCACTACCTGGTATACTGAGAGGGTTTCCTCAAAAGTCTTCCCCAGGTCTGTTATTATTCAGTCTTTCAAGCATTATCTTGTCCAGTGGATTAGAGAAACCATTTATTAACTGTGAAGAGGATACTAAAGAGGTAACTGCCGCAAGCACTCTGAAGGCTTAAGATTTGAGAATAATCTTAGCAAATTAAGGAGTAGCCAAGAAAAAATAGGATAAAATTCAATACAGACAAATGAAAAGTTCTAGCTTTAGGAAGGAATAATCAACAGCACAGAGCAGAGCACACAATAAGCAATGCCTGGCTGGCAGCAGTGCCGGAGAAAAGAATAACAGGACCAGGGGCTGCAGAGAATCTTTCAGCATAAATCAGCACCGTTGTTCTCATGCAACACCCTGTGCCTCGGAGATGTATCTATATTTTAAATACACAGCTATTTATATGTATACATAAAAAAGAGGAGAGTCACATGATCCCAGGGAAGACCAATGAAATAACCTCTCCACTCTATTTAAAATGACAAGATTTGGGGCATCTAAAATCCTATGCCTGGCTCCAAGCTCTTCAAATAAGGAGTGAGCTAATTAGAGAGAGACCAGTGAAGTGCAATATAATCAGAAACTTAAAACAAATTGCCTTTAAGAAAAAAGTTAAAGGACTAGCATTTAGTCTAAGGAAAAGATAAGGCAGACACAGAACAGTCTTCAAATATATATGTTTGCTGCAAAAATGAAAGGAATAAACTGCTTCGCATGTCCACTGGGGATAAGAAAAGAAGCAATAGACTTAAATTGTATCAAGAGAGATTTAGGTTAGACATTAGGAAGCGCTTCATTATGGTGAGGAAAGGGAACATTATCACAGATTGCCTGAGGAGTTCAAGGAATCTCCACCACTGGAGGCCTTTGAGCGAAGGTTACAGAAACACCCTTCAGCAGTGGGTTAGAGCTGATCCTGCCTCAAGGCAGGCCCTGACCTCTTCAGGTCCCTTCCACTTCTGATTCCTGGGAAGTTTTTTTTTTTTGGCAGCCTTACTGAAGAGAAAGGAAATTGTACCCAGCATATAAAGCAGTAAAACATCTATTCTTTTTATGCCATGAAGCATACTGTTAATAAATCCAATTATGTTTACGATCTTTTAATGGCACCACTTATGTCATAAAGATCCATCTTAGAAAATACAAATAAATATCTCTGCCCTACAGTGCAATACAACAGCATGAAAGCAAACTTCTACAAAACTCTGACTCACCATTATGTGGCTCCTACTACAATAATCTCAAAGCTAACTGCAACATAAAGAACACCAAACCCAGAAGTTTTTCCTTCTCAAAATTCTACCATTCATATTCTTTACAATCTTTTCACTTCACATTTTGTGTGTTGCAAACAGATCCATTCCTTTCCTTGTTTACCACTGGCAAGGGGAACTGAGGAAGTTCAGCTCACAAGGGTATTCCTTCATAATGAAATAAAAGAAAATAAACAAAAAACCACCAAACCCCAAATGCAATCAGATCTTGTTCCTGGTGTGATAGTCAAAGAAACTGAGTGATGTTATCAAAATTCTGCCCAAAGAGTGCCCCAAGCAAAGAAAGCGCACATTTAGGCAAAAGTAAATGCATGGCAGTGCAACTTATGATGATGGCCCATCAGCAACTGGATTGGTGGAGTTTTCTAAGACTAGAATTGCTATTTTTCATCTTATTTTTCTCCTGAGTAGCTGACGTGGTTTAACCCCAGCCAGCAGCCAAGAACCACGCAGCCGCTCACACACTCCCCCACCAACAGGATGGGGGAGCGAATCAGAAGGGTAAAAGCTACAAAAACTCATGGGTTGAGATAAAGACAGTTTAATAGAGAAATCAAAAGCTGCACACACAAGCAAAGCAAAACAAGGAAGTAATTCACTGCTTCCCAAAGACAGGAGGTGTTCAGCCATCTCCAGGAGAGCAGTGCCCCATCACGTGTAACGGTTCCTTGGGAAGACAAACACCATCACTCCAGATGTCCCCCCTTCTTCCTCCTTCCTCCCACCTTATATACTGAGCATGATGTCATACGATGTGGAATATCCCTTTGGTCAGTTTGGGTCACCTGTCCCAGCTGTGTCTCCTCCCAATCTCCCACGCACTCCCAACTTCCTTGCCAGCGTGGCAGTACAGAAAGCAGCAAAGGCATTGACTCTGTGTAAACTCTGCTCAGCAACAACAAAAACATCTCTACGTTATCAACTCTGTGTTCTGCACAGAACCTGAACATAGCCCCATACTAGCCTCTGTGAAGAAAGTTAACTCTACTTCAGTTCAAACCAGCACAGTAGCTAATGAATCCTGTTGCAGGCAGGCAACAGACAAAGTCACAAACTTCCACAAACTTCAAGAGCATCTTTGGTACAGATGGCAGGATTTTACCCCACCTTGTAATTTCCCTGAATGTCCTCTCTTTTGCTTCTCTTCACAACCTATCTGGCCACTCATGAGGTATTCCTGTACTGCAATGACTCTTTTTTTACTAACTCATACAGAAAAGATGTCCAGGATGTGCGTCTTACCAGAAGAACCCACTCTAGTAGATCTTATTACTCCAAAGGGATTCTGGATACCACTAGTATAAAGTTACAGAGTCTGTTTAAAGCACAGCTTCTCCCACACAGACCCGATGATACTGCAGACTCATAAATGAATAACAATTCTAGTCCTAAAATACTACCAGACATGTTAGTCAATCTTCATCTTGGTAAATACAGCTATATGCACACACGAAACATGCGACATTTCATTAGAAAATGTTTCCATACATTAGCAGAAAAGTTAAGAACATGAAACTGAAAGATGAATTATTCTTACATCTTGGTCTTGCAACTTTTAGGTCTGTTTGTGTCATAACAAGTTGGGGTTTTTTTCTTCCATTAGCATAGGTCAAGACTTCACAAAAATATAAAAATTAGACCAGGTTTTCCTTGGGAATTTTTTCCCAAATGTTTCTCGGTTTTACATAGGAAATCAATTTGCATCACTGATGATATCGTTCAAATCAGACAGCACTATGTGGTTAGAAAGCAATTTACTCTTCTGCCGAAGCAATTTGATACTCGTTCTGATTTGTGATTTTCATTTTGTTTGTTAATGAAAAAAATTAATGAGCAATGTTACTGGAAACACAACTCAAAGCTTTGGCATTATTAAATACGTTTGTAATATACTGTACATTATGTTGATTGCACAGTTGGAGCCAAAGCCTTGGCAGTCAAGCCACCAGTCAATCATTCAAACTGATAATGAACTCACAGGGTGGACACTTTGCACATACCTTTGCACTGATTTGTGTTTTTGTCAAGAATTGCCTTTGTGGATACAATTTTCCCATACCTATGGAGAAAACAAAAAACAGAAGTACACGTTATTATATTTTAATAAAATACACAGTGATTATCGCACACATAGAAAACGTATATTAGGAAGAGATCTAGTGCTCTTAAAAAATGTTTGCCTTGTAATCCTGCAGGGAGTCCTTCTGCCACTGCAGTTCAAATAACACCTTCAGAGTGCACCTGAAAAGCATTAGCCATTTGCCACATCCTGCCTATCTCTGGTCACCATGCTGCACTGCCAGCATAAACGCCAATTATAGTAAGGATTTTAGGACACTGACACTAGTAAAGAGGTTTCTTTGATTAAACCAATTAAGTTTTCTGGAAAAAAAAAGTTTGTTTTAATACAGAAGGACCATATCCCTTCAGGATTTGCAAAAACGTAATGATTGGTCATTTTTTATGTGCATGCACACACAGCTGTGCTCATGTGTACATCTAAGCCTGTGCATATAAACTCTAAACTTCTGGTTTGGATAAAGGTTTTAAGGTTTATGTACATCTTCTAGCTCTTTTCAAGATGAATGTTAATACTTTATACCATCTCCCATAGACAGCATGGCACTGCGCTGCAATTTGATAGACTTAGCATGAAGAAGAGGAAATTCGGGCAGCTACAAGTTGTTACATTAAGCAACTAGACCAGAGGTTAAGATTAAAAATGCAGACTTGCTATTAAGTATCACAAAACCCCAGTAAAAGATCACAAAAGTTAGTATTTACGGCTGAATATAAGACATCAGGAGAATAAGCAAAATAATTTTATTTCTTAAGTCACTGATGTGCCTTGGTCTCTGCTTCACCAAAGAGAACTTCCTCTAAAATGTTCTTTTTTTTCCCAGATTTTTTTAAAAAGCATTAGTGATACTTCTGGCATATTGGGCTTTCATTTGGAGGACTTTTCCACAGAACACAAGTCCTCCATCAGCAAAGGCCATATCACTACATATGATTATAATAAAATTGTATCTTCTAACTGCAAAGCAACACCTATGGAAAATAACCAACAGTTCCCAAATTATAAACTATTGGAATGTATGGTAGTCAAATTTTTATTCAGTTAATTTTTATTAACAGCAATATAGATTGGGTGCTAGTGACTTCTACTTGAAATCCAGAATCCAGGATGCAGAGGACCTTGCTGCAATTCCCTTCTCTGCCTCAGGAGGAAATCCATGCCTCCTACTATACAGAAAAGAACGCAAAGGGCAGCTAGAGCACTGTACTACATATTCAAGGCTACGTGCTCCTCTATCCTACCAGTAAGCATACTCAGCAAACCAGGCAAAACAAGAAGAAAAAGGGGGAAAGGCACACTAACATTAACAACAGCACAAAACAAAGAAAACAAACAAACAAAAAAAAACCCCACCAAAAGAGAAGGGGAAAAGAAAAAAAAGGAGCCAGAGCGAAGAGTATCATAATTCACAGGGGAAAAGGGATCTTTGGAGTTCAGTCTGGGACTCAGAAAACACTTAACTACATCATGAAAGGTGAGTAGCACCAATGGGAAAGAGAGTGCCTAAACATACTCTTCGATACAAGCAAAGAAGACTTGAGACAATTCTGTGCCTGACAGAAAGTTCTCAGCTGAAGTTTCCATACTGTGAGTGACATGCAGACACTCAGCTTAAGACAAAGGGCACTGTCTCTCCATCTCTCTTTACTGTTTTTCTGACTGATGCAAAGTGAGACTTTCCATTTCACTGTTTTCCTTTCCCTAAGAGCCCGCAAAAGCATTTGTTTCCATTTGACTTTCATTTTGGGGAGGAAAAACATGTTTTGATTCATTTTGTTTTAGTCTGAAACCAGTCAGGAGGAGGAGGGAAAACTGACCTAAAGGCATGAACCATTTGTGCAAACTAAGTCAAGCCTCAATTCAGCCATCTTTTAGGAACCAAAGAAATCTTACAAACCCACCTCCCCTACACCTCTTTTTTTCTTTTTTCTTTTTTCTTTTTTTTTTTTTTTTGCTGGCTCTGTAGAGCAGCAGAATTTTGTGCTCTGGAGACAGGAGCAATCCATTGTATGCTGCACTATGATGGGCACATACACAGGTATTTGTAAGTCTATTTTGCCATAGTTGCTCCACTCCAACTAAATACATAACAGATTCAATGTTAACCATGAGATCACATGCTTTTCTGACCTCAGGTGTTTCCAGAATTGGGGCCTTTATACTCACTTGTGTTCCACTTAATTTCATAATTCTTCACAGTAATACCTGAAGTTGACTTTGGCCTCTAAGATATTAGAGCACGTCTTAAGAAGGTAAAGGCAAAATCTTTGCCAGTATGATTTATGGCTGTTCAGTGGGCCAACTTACCCAGCAGGAAATTTGGCCCGTGCGGTGCATCTTCATTTATTTGATTTATTTAGATTTAATATCAAATACATGAAAAACATGCAAAAACATGCCTATCTTCTACAGTAATGGGCCTCTGACAGATATATAGAAAAAGAATCCAACAAAAATCAGCAACTAACCCACAACAACCTCAAATAAAACACAACCCCTACCTAAGCTTCCGCCAAAAAAAACTAACACCCAGCCTCCATTTCAATCCAGCCACTCCTAATGAATTTATATGTTGTTTCATCCAAGTCACGTGAGAGCTTAAAGTTAACATTTCTTGCCAGTAGAGACAGGCATTTGTGGTTCCTCTGCTTTTATTACAGATTTCCCAGTTATTTGCTACATACTGTGATCCTGCAAACACTCAGTTACACTAGAGATTTTACTCACAGAAGTAATTCTGCTCAGTTCAGAAGAGGTTTCCTCCCACATGCAAAGCTATGTGTGCACCTTCATGTTTGGGAAAACAGACATCACAGTGGTTAAGAGGCACCACAATAACAAACACTGTTATAGGCAATTAGCCATATGCCGGCGATTTAATCTACTGCTATAAACCTTGAGTGCTACCACAAGAAAGTAATTGGAATTAATTTGGACACTGTTTTCCTAAATATTTCAAGTAATTATTCTACAGTAATCAGAATATCAGTTCTGATGAAGGATGTTAGTTTGTATGCTACATGAAATCCAGAAGGTATTTTGTTCCTACAAATGTAGTCATATTTCTTTCTATAGTGTGGAGAGTGGTATTAAGCTATGCCTCCAAAGTTATTTGGCTTTCTGTTTGCGTGACTTTTAATCATTATTTGATTCACCCAGAAGTGCAAAAACACTATTCCTCAATGGGAATACTCACAGAAATAAAGATGAAGTACACCACAAGAGCTGACTTCTTGTTTTCATATATTTAAATGGAAACCACTATAAAATTCAAGAGCCTGCTCTCCTTTGTTCCACAAGCTATTGATATTGCTAATGTAAAAAAATACCAGATATGGTCTGCTTGTCGTAAGAAAACATGAGCACTGTTTAATTTCCTCCTGAGTTACGGTTCATGGAAGTACCCTTCAAAGATTTTCAATCTAAAATTCTGGTCATAAAAGGATAACGGTAGAATTGAGTTCATCTCAATGCCTTATTACCAACCCTTCAACATAATGGCTGTATCATTAAGGATAACCTACTGCATCACACTATCCAAGGAAATAGACGTAATGAATCTGAGATGACTACCTCAGGAATGTGACTATTGAGCATCTGAACTAAAATCACTTATACAAAGGATTTCCAGACACTCTTCCCAAAGTGTTATCTAAATGAACAGTAAGCACAAATAAAATTGTTTAAGTGCTTTTAAAAATCCTTCGAATCTTTTAAATTCAATCATGCTTTCATAGCTTTTCAATGTAATAATTTTTATTAAAAACCAGGTGGCCAGGTATTTGAAAGAGCTTCCATGTCAGGAACAACTGCACAGACTAAGACTACACCTCATTAAAGAAGGACTCATGCAGTGAGATGGTGACTAGCTGTCTTCACTGTTTTCGTAACACATAAGGACTGCCCAGAAAATTATAAGGTTTAAAACCTGCAGGTTCCAGAATGGAGAGTTATTGGTGGAACTCATTGCCACAGCCCACAGTGATGCCCCACAGAGCATATCACTACAGAAACCTATCAGACAGCTTCTAGGATGGAAAAATAAGTCATGAAATTAAAAGCAAAGACACATTTGTGGCCCTGGAAGTCACATACTACCAGAAACTGTGAGAGAATATCAGAGTAGCATCATTCCATGTTGCCCCTATTTTAACATCAGGCACCTCCACAGCTGCTGAAACTAATTTCTATCTGACCCAGCCCAGCTGTTCTTACATTCCAAGAAAACTTTAAGCTGGGGGTGGAAATTCCGTCTTATAAACATTTTTACTTTCTCTTGTATATATCAGTTTGGAGTGAAACAGTTCAAGTCATCTGATACTCTCAACATTATGAAGGTCACTTCGAACTCTTCACTTACAAATGGCAGTAACTCACACCATGTCACGTGGAAGGTAGAACTAAAGGAATAGCCCATGGTGCTGTGCACAGATACAATCTCCCTGCTCAGCCCTGGCTACAGAGCTATGTCAAAAAATCACTCTCTCAAGAGCTCCATCCCATTGCACCTCACCTTTTTGGACTACTCAGCAGACTCGGAAAAGATGTAAGCAATGCAGAATGAGCCCTTAATGTACATCAAAGCTACAGCATCAATAGATCATTTCAAGAGCTTTCAGTTAGGCGGACGATCAGCACTTACACTGCAGACAAAGCTCAATCCGATCATTTCCAGGAAGTTATTTGATAACTGATGTTAAAATAGAGATAGTTCCTGAAGGAAACACTTCAGCTGCAAGTGATACCACTCACAAGATGTGGGAAACTTAACCACTGCACACGCCAACCCCCAAACAGATGGGAATTTGCTGTCTTACAGCACACAAAGGATTTGAGCTATTTCTCCTTCTGCCTGTGGGAAGCTGGGGGGCAGGGAAGACAAGTGCGCAGCCAGGGTTAGGAGGCAAGTGAGATTCAGCTGGGGACTAGCTAAAGGCAGAGGAATCAGGTGCCACCCACCCCACTGCTGGCAGGCAACA